GGCCGTGACTGTGTACAAAATCCATCGTCTACGACAAGGCGAGCAGCGTGTTTTGCCTATCGAATTTTTCTTTCTGGCATGGCTACAATGACTCATTTGCTTAAAACACCATGATTGCACAGTTGTTTCCGTACCTGCCATCGACGTCTTCAGGTTGTAGCTTGGCTAATCGCTCTTCAGCGCTAATGAGCAAATCACTGAGCTGCGCATATTTCTCTTGCAGCTGAAAAAGCAACCAAGATCTCTTTAAGTAGTAATATGGCAAGGAAATGAAACAAAAGCCAGAGCGTTGGATTAGAAAGATAACAGTATGAACTTCAACACTTCGATAAAAAAGTACGATCTAGTCCTAATATTATTAAAATCATATTCTTAAGTTCTTAATGTTCTTAAAATGCTTACCGTGCAATAAAAAATGTGTATACATATCTATAAAACTGATTAATGGGTAATCAAAACCAAAAAATTGTTTAGCTGCTTTCCAAAACTGGATCTGGTAATCGAAATCATTCGTAATCGCTCTTTATTTGCCGTAAGGCTCATACGGTAAAAACTGATAGTGAAAAACCTATCCATATTCACTTGCCCACAGAATGCGAAAGCATTCGGAATTAGCCCGAGTGGTGGCATATGCTAACGGCAACCAACTGTTGGCAAGGTTTTCGATGTTGCCCTCTTTTCTGAGTTGCTTGGAAGCAAGCTAATGGCATGCGGCAACACTAATTTCCTACTGGAGCCGCACAAATGTTGGTTATGTCAGCCGCACAAGCGAGCCGCACAAATGTTGGTTATGTCAGCCGCACAAGCGAGCCGCACAAATGTTGGTTATGTCACTGGCCCAGCCGGATCTTAGAATTTAAGCACAACAACAAAGCTAGCTGCCGGTGCGCTATGACCACCAACAAAATATTAGCAGGAAATAAACCTTTCTGAACTCCTCCTCAAGATTCTCAACCCCAATATTCTGCTCTAGAATCAGCATTGACGTTTTCGCTTCCTTCTTCAAACTGTTCAAAATAGTCTCCTTCGTTTGCAGTGTTTCTTCAAGTTTCGAATTCCTGCAGTGTACTGAGTTTGAAGTTGCAATGATCCGTTTTAAAGTCGCACAACAACAAAACAAGACCGTAAGTCCCCAAGATCGCTAG